ACTTGCCCACTTGCCTACCTTCTAGAAGGTCTACAGCTAAGCTTCCGGAACTCACTAAGACTCCTGCGCTATAGACCTACAGATCGAACCCCTGCTGCCTATGGACCTACGACAGGCCTACCAACTGCCTACGAATGCACAGGTCACAGGTTCAATTCTCAGGGTCTACACAGATACTGTACATGGGTGGGGTGAGGTCTAGGGATCGAACCCTGGGTACTGCATCCGCTACTGCTAAAAGGTGAAAACAGTTTCACTCCCGCCGTCCTAAATTCGAGGTCCTCAGAGAAAATTTCAGTCCAAGGCGGGACCTTTACCTTTCTTGTCACGCTCATAGGCTCTGCCTATGTCGGGAGCAGTCTCTAGAAGTTCTGCGTTCGTGAACCAGCGGTCGTCTTCTGGTTCCTGGTAGGCAAACCGGACTTTATACTGTTTCTGGGGACGACCTCTACCTCCTGTCCTAAACACATCCTCTTCTACAATGCCCTCTATGTCATAGCTCCCATCCATATCCGGTGGGATCATGGATCTCCTGGAAGGGAACTGTTGACTAGTGACACACGACAGCAGCTTTGAAGCATGAAACACAGGGTATGTGTGGAGGTGTGCTGGAATCTCAATGCTGTAGGACGGTCCATCCTCTCCGCCCTTGACTTCTAGAACCGGCCACGGTCCTCTATATGTAGGCAGTAACTTCTGCGATATGTTTTCTTCCGGTGCAAACTCTTTTGCCTTGACCCAGACTAAGTCGCCTACTTGAAACTGCGATGGGCGTCGGTGCTTGTTAGCCTGTTCTATCATTCTGTGCTGGGCCTTCCGAAGGTTCTCAACAACAGTGGCTAACTCCTTTTTGTGTTGTATCGCAAACTCCCTGGTACCGGGCGGTAATCTGTGAATCTGATCCCGGTTCAGTCCTTCGAATGGTCTGCGTGGTCTAAAGGACTTGTGCAACTCATTGGGAGTGCGGCAGGTGGATAGATGCACGCTGTTGTTGTATGCACTAGCTACCTTAGGCAACATCTCATCCCAGTTAATCTGATCTGGTCTAATGTACATGCGCAGAACTTGCTGTAGGATCTTGTTCATTTGTTCTGTCTGACCGTTAGTCTCTGGGTGACGGGGTCGGACGACATTAACAACTTAGATCCGTAGACTCTCATGAGTTCTTGCCAGTTCTGACTAGTGAAACGACTGTCCCTATCACTAACTATTGACACTGGGATTCCATTCTCACTAACCCAAAAATAAAAAAACTTCTGTATAACTAAGTCCGTACGTGCCTCTGCAGGCAAAGGAACGAAAACTGCATATTTGCTAAAACGGTCAACTACGACCATGACTTGGCTCTTACCATGTCTACTCTTGACTTGGGTGTCCATGAAGTCTATGGACATTGAGTCTCCCGGCTGATCCGGAATAGGCAAGGGTCTGAGAAGACCTAGGGGCGCGCGTGTAGTAGACTTATTCCTCTGGCAAACTTTACAACTGCGGACATACTCTATGCAGTCATTCTTCATCCCTGGCCAAGTATACGCACGCATCAAGTTGGCTAACGTCTTTTGCCAACCGAAGTGTCCCTCAGTATCGTGACATTCCCCTAGAATTAGACTACGAATCTCTTCGCTGTTGGGAACGCACAGGCGGTCAAACGCATTAGTCTTCTCAAACAACAACCCGTCTGTAGTGCGGTAATCTGGTTCAGTCTCTGGGGCCTCTCTAACTCTCTTTAGGAGGTCGCTATAGAAGGGGTCATGCGCATATGCTTGCCTCACTTTCTCCTGCAGGTCTCTCACTATATCCAGATAGTGTACTACAGCTCCAAAGTAGTCTGATCTCCTACTGAGAGCATCCGCAACTACGTTGTACTTGCCCCTCACTGGCTTGAGCTCAAAGTCGAATTGGTCTATCTCTGCGGCCCACCTAATCAACTTAGGTGTCATCTTGGCCTGAGTCTTTAACCATCTAAGCGTTTCATGGTCCGAATACACTTTGAAGTGCCTCCCAAGCAGGTAGTGCTTCCAATGATCTAAAGCCTGCCTGAGAGCGTAGAGTTCTCTCTCGTACGTGGAGGCAGCAACCTTCTCACAGGGCATCCTCGCTGACATGAACTCCACGGGTCTATAGCCATTGTCGTCGTCTTGCTGCAACACGGCGCCTATCCCATACTGACTCGCGTCCGTGGTGACGACAAATGGCAGAGACGGATCTGCAACTTGGACAGGATACTCTATTACCGCGCGCTTTAACTTCTTGAGCGCAGACGTACAGTCTTTGTCCCATTGCCAGATTGCCTCTTTCTTCAGCAACCTGCGCAAGGGAGCGGCGATAGTGGAGAAGTTCCTCACGAACTTCCTGTAGTAGTTAGCTATGCCTAGGAATGACCGCAACTCTGTCATCGTGCGGGGCGTCGGCCAATCTCTAATCGCCGCGATCTTGCTGTCCTCTGGCTTGATGCCATCTCCGTCTAATACGTGGCCCAAGTACAAAACTTGCGTCTTGGCCCACTCGCACTTCTTCGCGTTGATCTTGAAGTTAGCCTCTCTAAGCTTCTCCAAGACCTGCCTCAGATGACCCT